AGAAGAATTTAGAAGTTTTGGAAAGTTGGTGTGGTGGTCGAAATTTCAATATATACGGTGGTCGTTTGTATTAACAAGAAACCCAAAGAAAAGAGCCAGGTAAAATGGAGGCGGGTTCTGAGGACTCCTTTTTATAACGATGAGCATGGCACAATTGTTTAACTAAATTTGGGCTTGTGTTCATTTTGACATGGCTAGAACATTCGAGTTTAATGACGTAAGATCTTCTGATTGGTAATCGAAAGGGTAAGAAGGAGTATGAGTAGTAAACAAAGGAAATGATTTACCCATTCGGCGGAGTGGCGCTTGCTGCGTGTTGCAAGCCGCGCAGCAATTAAATAATGTTGTATAATGTTGTGTAACGTTCTCCTTTATTCGATTGTTAACTATTACTATATCGACATCCGTATCGGTTGAATTGTGAGTATGGTGGATATTACGCCCGAGTTTCGCAAGATATTGAATGAAGTTGGACCGCAGAATGAGAAGACGCGTGAAGATATACTTCCTCCAGTGAAGAAGAATCCAAAATTTGTTCAGAATGAATTTACCAGAGAAGCTTATCAAATAGTAAGTTGATGGCCGGCACGCTTGTACCTCAGTGGAGCTTGTTGCCCTTTGCATGAACTTATGATAAACGTTCAATCAAAGGCATCACACATAAGCAACTTGAGGACGTATCTGCTTTCTGTTCGCCGAGCATATCTCAACCTATCGCGTCACTCAATAGGCTCGGTGAAGTCCACTGGTTCAGCATCTACTTGGAAGAATCAGACCGATCAACCCTCGGTTAATACCCTCACTGACAAGGAAAGAGACGAGATTGATTTACATGCCAAAACCATAATTCAACAATGCTTAGACCGGATTAAACTATTAGAAGAATCCGAACACGGTAGCTAACTGGTTCTTGTGCTTTGTAAGCCCTTTTGCATTTTTATTCATGTTAACATGTGGTTTTATTAGTACGTCAGAACACGCATTTGAATAACCCGCTGTCTATGCTGTTACCGACAGCCCTGCTCCCAGAAGAACACGATCTATTGGCAGCACATCGAAGCAGCATAATATGGCTATTGAACATGAAACTAACAGAGGTGTCGAAGATACAGAAAGATCAACAGAAAGCACGAATCATGAAGGAGCTAGCAAAGCGTGAGAGGTACTACCACAGTCATTTTGACGCCAGCTATCATTGAATGACGATCTAATAGATGCTTATGTCATGCAAGCGTTTTGTACAAGCCGGCATCGAAATCTGCTCCATCTGCTTCCCCCTCATTAATTGATGTTGACAGTGAAAAGGACATTCGAAATAAGACTAATAGCGTCGTTATTGATGGAAGAGAGGATGATTTTGAAGAGAGTTTGTCAGCTGAACAAAAGATGATGTTGGATATGGAAAATGTGTCAATCTTGAAAGAATTAGAGACTACACTTGATCAAGTGACGTAAGTGTATAGACCAATACTATTCTCACTTGTTATATTTTATTGCTTGATTTACTAATTGTGATGTTTCTACAACAACAAGCCAAGCTGAAAAGGCATTAATGGAAATATCGACGCTGCAATCCGTCTTATCTAACCATTTGGCGGTACAAACGCAACAGACAGATCGTTTGTATGCCGAAGCTGTAGCAACGACTGAAAGAGTGCAGGAGGGTAATTTAATGTTGACAAAAGCACGTCAACGGGCGTCCGATGCACGAAAAGGAATTTTGATATTCTTGATATTAGCTAGCTTCGTTCTCTTGTTCTTGGATTGGTTCGATTGATTGATATTACGGGGGAAAATAGATAGTCAATCTGCAAAGTGGTAAAAATATATTACTAATAATATTACTATTACAGGTAACCTCAAAAATTTTATTAGAATGATGGTTAATTGAATTGTGTAAATTATTGTATCTGGCCTACGACTAGATATGTTACTCGCTTAATATACCAGGGGATGTTTTTAAGCAAGGGCATCTGTAAAAAAGAACTTTGCCTGATCATTTCTCTTCATTTAAATCCATAACCAGTTATGTCAAATTGGGGGGCTACCTCTGAATCGTGGAGTGGACATTTTTCCCATGTTACAAACAGCTGATGTTATTTGTGTAATAGACGCCATGTAACTGTCGCATCGTTGGGTCCCTGAGATTTCTTTACGAGACTATGGGGGCAGACTTGCAAACTACAAGTTTCGGGATTAAACCACCAATATTGTCCGTGGTTTTTTCTACCATTCATCTACCATAGATATAAAACAAGAGTTTTTCGGGCTGCTGAATCTTTCCTTATTTAGCCGTTGATCCTGACCATTGTTTAAATCAAGGTAGTAAATGATGGTAGCTTGAATAATTACAACATCTTGAGTCTCTCTGTCAGCGTGTACATTTCACATTCTGTTAGGGAAGAATGAGCAAGATTTTTCTTTCAATCTGGGAAATGGCTATTCTTACGTTATCCAATTGGTAAATCAATCAAGAAACATACTAAACTGATTGATTAAAAGTGTTGGACTCTGTACTTTAATTAATAGGTGGATGGTAAAATTCGCAAATTATACCATACTCAAGACATAGTCACAAGTTCAAAGCATTCAGGGATTAAGGCGTTAAGAAAGGAATTAAAAACGACGATGATTAGCGTTTATCGTTTATGACTAAGTCGATTAAAACAGAAATTGAATTAATGCAGGTACCACATGACGAAATCAAAGACGGGAAGATTTGGACCCGGGAATATTGTAATCAATAATTCTCCCGACAATTTATTACAAATCATCTTCCATTATAACTAACACAGATGGACTAATTTGGACTAGCGTATAAAAGTGTCGAAATTATCGACTATAAAAATAATCCCGGGAATCCCTACATAGGTTATGATCATCAGTTGGTTCAGTGTTTATAATCATCTTTAACCTAATGGCATTTATAAATCATTTGAATGAAGTTTATGAGCTTGCTCAGGAGGACAGTGAACTTGGAAGAATTCTCAGGCGTGCGCTTAAGATTATTGAAGATGGACTTGAACGTTATGGGTATAGTTTGCCGCTGTACTACACACTGCTGAGACTAAAGCTACTTTTACTTACTACAATTGCCTGCTGTCAACGCTAGATCAAAGGGACTATCTTTAGCATTCAATGGAGGAAAAGATTGTACAGTTCTCCTTCACCTCTATACTGCTGTATTGCTTAGAAATACATCTTATTCGTCGTCTTCGTCCTCATTGCTGACTGTCTACATAACTCAACCAAATCCCTTTCCAGAGGTGGAAGAATTTGTTGAGAGCACAGTAAAACGGTATGGATTAGACTTGATCGCAATAGAGGGACCCATGAAGCAAGCTCTTGGTGCGTATCTAGAAAAGAGGCCAAGTGTTAAGGCTGTCTTGATTGGGACTAGGAGGAACGATCCGCACGGAGGTATGGGAATGGCGAAAAAGTAAGGATGTTTGTAAGAGGGCGGGACTTTGCAGATGTGAGAATAATGAATTTCGTGTTGATGATAGAACATTTGAAGGATAATATTCCAACCGACCCCGGATGGCCACCGTTTATGCGGATATATCCTATCATCGATTGGAACTATACCCATATATGGGATTTTCTAAGAAGACTGAAGGTGCCATACTGCAAATTATACGATTTAGGGTAAGTAGAATGTAATAGCTGTGCTTCCATTCCAACAGACTGGTTAATATGCCTCCCTATTGTATCTTGTAGGTATACTTCATTAGGTAGCATAGACAATACACACCCAAACCCTGACCTTCTTAATCCAAATCAGCCATGCGGATTTGATCCCGCATGGAAGTTAATTGATCAAACTCGGGAGCGATGTGGACGCTACTGACATTGAGAGCATTGTTGACTTACTTACATGCTTGGAGAATAACTTGAAGTTATTGATTGGGTGAGGAGAGAGCATCCTGAATTAGCTAGCGGATTAAGGTGGATCCAAGATATCAAGTCAATCAATGAACGAGGTGAGAATCTGAGGGAGGGACTATTGGTTAAGAATAGAGACTATTGGTTAAGAATAGAGAATATAGCTATTATACAACTAATTTACAGCTGTGTGTTGTCGTTCTCGTTGTCGCCAGTGTAAAAAACAATAAATACTATAGAACTTCCATAAATGCAACGCCTTGGGACCGAGTGTTATGTTGTTGCATTTATGGAGGATTCCTTAATAGGAAAGAAGATTTTAAGCTATTAAAAAAAACGGTATTCTTTTTTAATTTCTGCCAAATTACGTAAAAAATTTTACTATCAACATCCCTAATTATTAACTAAAAGTTGTTTGTTTCATTAAATTCACCGTTCCACAAATAAGGTTCTCCATGCTATTAACAGCCTTATTAATTCGAAACATTTTTTACGGTTTCCAAGCTTCTAATGCTTACTAGCACTAACCATTGGTATTTATTCTTCCAAATTAAAGAAAGAAACGGTATCATCACTTTCAGAAAGCTTAAAAACAACCAAAATTCTTCCGTTAGTTTCAAATCTATTGTAAAATGAGAAAAACAGGATTGACACTGAAAGAATAGCAATTCTTCACAAGCAATCTTTCTCTGCAACTGGCTCTATCAAGGATAATATTGTTGTGTGTTCTAAGAATGCAAAATATGTGAATCACGTGAGTTGCACTCGCAATTGAGGGTTGCATTTATGGAGGTTTTACTGTAAATGTAGTTTACGTTGCCCGAAAGTTCAATTACCCAATTGTGTAAAGCCATAGCCATCTCCTTATTTTAACACTCGCTTTTTTCAATCATTTCTTTCTATTGCTTGAACTAACCATTTTTTTAGTGAAAATTGACAGATTTGTTTTTATTACTTTAAACGATGTATTGTTTTAACGATATTTATTGCGTTGTGGATGATTTTTGAAGTGAGTGAACCAGTGCTGATTTATAATAAAATCTCCGTAAGCTGCAAATGATTATTAGACAAACGCGAATTTCTGTTTCCCAAAAAGTAACGTTTCAGCAAATCCGATGAGTCGCGTATAAACTGATTATATTATATCGCTAACATAACGCGTGAGGTTTCCTCTGAATAAAAAATATGCGACATACAACATACAACATGTTAATGTCAATCGGAACGACCGTAATTTCATACGGCTTGCGCAAAATCGCGGGCGCTTCAAAATTTGCGCCCACTATCATATATTACTAGGCGGTTATTGACTGATAATATGTCCATTAAATGAAATACCACGGCCAGTAGTGATTAAACCTATTGTTTGCAGTTAAGAATAATTATAAAATTCTTAAAACAACGCTTCGAGTTCAATATCTCTTCGATTAGGAGTATTTGTTAGCTGTCGTTCTAACAATAATTCTATTCTTGTTGCTGACAGCAGTGTCTGTTGTGTTGCTTACAGAGATTAGAGTGACACAAAACTGTAAGATTAAGCGGAGACTAGACAGGAAAAACCCCAGTTTAATTGATTTTTCAATATCTTATTTGTTGCAACGCTGAAGAATGAGCAGAGTGGCATTTTACGTGCTAAATGATATAAAACAGTTTTCGCCGTTTCCGAAATAAAGTCCGCCGGTAGATTTGGTTGGGGTAGTCTCTCAAGAAAAACACCCAGTTTTGCCTCACAATGGTCAATATTTACAGATTTAGACAATAGATTAACCAGACGCGAAGTTAGTACAGAAAAAAGATGCGAACTTGTTTTGGACACAAAAGGGACAGAATTTTCTATTTGTGACAGATACCTTGATGGACGTTGTAATAAAAAGACTTTTATTTGTTTCTCTTTCCTGTTCATAGAAAAATGCAGTTTTTAACTACCATATATATTTTGCAATAGCCTTTCGGCTCGAACAAGAATTATAAGGCCTCTATTCCAATTTATTATTGGTTTTGCAAAATCATGAATTTCATGTGTATGAGGACAATGCTTGTAAGTTTACTTCAAACGTTTTTTTCCAAATTAGCTATATGGCTTAGGACTGTCCTTTTCAGAAATGTTTTTGTCTTTTCAGCTATTTCTTTAACATATTGAAGTTCTTGAAGAAGATCAACACTGTGCTTAGTAACAAGCAAAAGCAATATTTGTGCTAGCTTTTTGTTGTCTGGCTGTAATTCAATGCTGGCTTCGAGACGCAAGAGGAATTGTCTCATTAACTGAGTATCATCAATATGAAACTTTTGGTCAAGAATAGCAATAATTGTCTCTACAATTGCTTCAGAGAAACATCTGTCGTATGTACTGTTTGGATCGGTCATCGTGTGCCCGCTCGATGTTGAACGTGTTTCCTGTGTGATCACCCTTATTCATCATAGCATCAGTATTTGATTAGTCCTAATAATGCGTATTAAACGCATGCACATTACCTTAGAATAGCCAGTATAGATATTTCGTCCAAGCCCTGCTTATTAACTTTTTGTATTATATCGAGTTGTGGGCGTCCTTTTGACGTGTAGAAACAAAGTGAGTTAACTTGATATTGGCTACCGTGCGTCGACAAGTCGGTAATAAATATACATGCCTATGCTATTTGCATCGTTCAATAAGGGTAGCAATAGTGCTTCGACAAGAGCTCTGCCCTTGATGCGAGCAATGTTCAGAATACTAGAAATAAGGCTTCTGGAAGGCATAGAGGCTAGTTGACGAATCTATAATAATAAAAAGACTCGTCAAACGTGCGAAAGTAAGTCTAACCCTTTTCGACCTCGTGACATACTTTATCCAAGTAAGCCATCCTGAATAATATAACGTAATTCTGAAATATGATATCATCCCGCTTAACCAATTCATTACAGAACACACGGAGCGTGTCGTCGCTTAGTTGGGACATATCAAATTGCTTGCAAAGCTTTTGAAACTGGGCAAGAATAAAGAGCGTTATGCGGAGAAAGAATAAATGATGAACGGATAATAAAAGAATGATGTACCTGTACAGGTGGCAGTCGAATAATTGGATCCATTTCTTTCAAGAGTTCGTCACAAATGTCCGTGCCATTAGACTTGTTTTCTAGACACCCTTTCAGTCTGAGAAACCTTTCCGGTTCAATTAAATCTTCGTTGATAGTCAATTGATGACTTTTTTCAACTGGGAGTCAAATTGACGCGAATTATGTTCGACCTCGGGTTTATTTAAAACAAGCTTCGACAATTTGACAAATCACATACTTACTGTCAGGATCTCCTATATTCTCCTCTATCGGAATGGGGATACGTGAATCTGTCCTCCCTTGTTCTTTTGCGCGAATCAATTGACTTGATGCGTACATAAATCTCGTTAAGCAAATAGGCTAGTATACCGTAGATAGTCATCATAATATAATCTATACGCAAAGGATATAAATATAGGTTGTACGTTTTTTGCTTCATTCCCTTCATCAACTTGATTGCAAGAAGTTTAGTAAATAAAAAAAAGCGAAAATTAAAAGAACTAGCAATAACATACATACACCAGGAAGTTATTATGGTTTCCTCCGATGAAATATCAAATAGTTGTCCATACGTGAACATTTTCTTATGCACAGCAAGCTTCTCTTTCCATTGCAACAAGATCTTTCTGTTTACATCAACCATACTAATCACTCTATAAAGTTGAAAGCGATCTGTATGACGTGTCACGTTGGCGAGTGCGCAAAAGCTGAATGATTGGCCAATGAATGTCAGACAGAATAAAAGGAATTGACAAGGTTCAACTGCGCAATACTTTGCTTCTAACCGACATATGGACGAGAGCTCGTCACCAGCTACCTGTCATATGCTACTGTCGTATATCTATCGTATGTTGGTTATAAGTATGTGGATACATTGTCAACTGTATCGAACGTTAAATTCTGCAAGTGACCATACTTAACGTTAATATATTCTGTAATATAGTGACGAAGAAACAACGTCAAGTTAAGCTTTTGCATATAACAATAAGTCTAACGTATTTGAAATTCGCAAAATTCACACCAAAAGTCGCACATTCTCAGTCGTGTCAATTTAGGTTTGATATTGAAATATGTCTCTATGATTATTTATAATTAGCATTTACAAATTATTAACCATCCTTTAATTATCCATTTCAGAAAGATGATGGTAATAATAACTGATTTGCTCATCCGCTATGCCAACAAATTATGGCTACATCACTGAAGGCAGTACAGCATACATTGATCCAGCATCTTTTAAGAAAGCGGTCGGAAATCCTGTATGATGGTGGAAGTTTTCAAGCGAAAGTTACCGTGAAGTAGAGTATACGTGCAACAGATAAATATCACGTAAACTCAAAGTTTTGTAATTCCCCATTTCTGGAACACCTGAATGGTTCGCTTGAACCGTGTTCGCAAAGTTGAGGTGGGGCCTAGTAAGAAGCCATCATGTGAAGAAGTATATGAACGATTTAAGCTTTAGAATAACCAATGATTTTAATCGTTGGGAACCGATTTCTCTCTGACTTCTTTGAGCACCGAGAGCGATCGCGTTTGCAAATGACCAAAAAAGCAAGGTCAATGTACGTGCGGCCTACTTGGCTCTACACGGTTTATGCATGGAACATGCGCAATTTCATGCATATACGTGTAAGCCATGCAGTCATTCTCCTTTAAATTGGTACAAATTACAATGTAGAACATTTTACAAACTCATCTGGATTAAGCAACAGTCTTTGATTAAATAGTCAAAGAACAATCAACAACTAAATCAAGTTATAATTTACGCTTATTAAGATTAATAAACCATTTTTATTTTGAACAAACATTCACTATTAACATGTGTTTTAACCAATTACCTACTTATTTATTTAATTGAGCAATTAGAAATACTCAATAACCAATGAATATGAAATTACAGCACTATTACTATTAGAAGTATTTTAAAGAAAGCTCAAATGGGGCATGCTGCAACAAAACCAGACAAAGTGAACATTTATAAATGAGAGGCTGATTATGATGTGGCTGTGAAATTGACCAGTGTGTTTTGAAAAGTAATAATGATGCTCATTCATAATTTTTTGACATGTTAACTTTAATGTTCCCTTTATCATACCAGAATGTGGTAAATATAGGATTAATATAGGATTATCTCTATATAAAAAATATAAATATGAAACTAATTTATATCAAATCCACTATGGAACCCAAGAATTACAGCACCATTAGAAGTATTTTAAAGAAAGCTCAAGGAGAAAAAATCGCTCCTTATGTTTTTAAAATCAATGATACCCAAACACTCCAGGAATATCTAGATCAAGAAAAAATTACTTATGAAATTTAAACTACTTCTTTACTTTTAATCAAGGTCATTTCTTATTTTCTTTAATTTCAATTTGAGCAACATGTTGAGTCTCCTGTTTTCTTAAGAATTCAACCCCACTTCAAGTCTTTGACTTTTATCCAATAATTCTTGCTTTTGTTTATCATGTCAATCCTTTGAAACATCTAAGGCTTTCAGGTGAGAACTGATTTCTTCCTTAGCACTGGCTAGTTGCTGTTTTAAACCCTTGTTTTGTTGTTCTAATCAACACACATAACTCTGAGCCATTATTTCTGTTATGGTTGGAGTTTTAACTGGTGGCTCATCTTTCCTTAAATCACAGAAGC